GTATCCTAAAGACCCTCCAAACAGGGGGAAGAGAAATACAGGAACAAATCTGCAGGAAAGCACAAAAGAATTACAGAGTAGTGATACTGGACCCAATCGATTTTCGGCTAACGTAAGCAAAAGGAAAAGAAGGCATGAATTTCTGAAATGCACTCAGAACTTCCTTTTCAATATGTTCATGGCCCAATCATTTCTGGATCTGACGCTATGGGATAAGGTGAGCCAAGTAGCCTAGGACTATGTGGCAAAAGTGATAAGATTCTGGCACATAATAGAGAAGAGCAAGAAGCAATCTAAAGTAGACCTCCTAGAGTGGAAGCCAACTAACTTCTGTAGGATAGGAAAAGATCTAGTTCAGGTAAAATGGTATCAAAGACTGACAAAAAATTTGAGAATAGAATGCATATTACTGTAGAAGAAAATGCGAAAATTTTCTATTGGCGTGTTAATAATAAATGGGCAGTAATCAGCAGAGTGATTCCTCTTTAGGGACAAAGGAGGTGATATACACTTAAAGGTAAGGCTTGAACAGTTCATAAATAATTTGTAGTGGCATTTTCTAAGAGGGCAAAATATTGGTACAGATGGAGATGGTAGAGGTAATGGATGGGATGAAATTGATTGGCAGGATACATTAGAAGAGCTGACTATGCTTGGAATGGGCTTACCTCCCAGATTGCTAAAAGAAGTAGGAATGAAGACAGCAGAAGAGCTTGCCAAAATCTTCCCGATATACAGGGAGGTGCCAGAGTGTTGGGAAGTGACAAAGATGATGCCCTGATTCAAGGAAGGGTGGAAGGACAGCAGGTGAGTCAGTTTAACGTAAGTAGAATCAATAAGCGGAGATTTTTTAAAAAATTTTGAGGGGTTCAAGTTAATTACGGGGCGTCATGCCCAACTAACCTAATTTAATTTTTGGAGGAGTAACACTGAAGCTAATGCAATGCACGTTGTCAGTATGGATTTGAAACAATCGTTTGACAAAGTACCTCATGAAATAATGGTTAACAAAATTGAAGCTCATGGAATAGGATGGTCAGTGTCAATTTAGAGATATAACAAAGGTCAGAAGACATGGTAAATTTTTACATTTTTACAATTCTAAAGAAGGGTCACTGGACTCAAAACATTAACTCTGTCTTGTCTCCACAGATGCTGCCAAACCGATTGAGTTTCTCCAATAATTTTCTGTTTGTTACAGAAAACATTTGAAAAGTTATGGGTAGACTGAGTACCACCAATCAAACCATTTTCCAAAGGAGAAAAGGTTTTAAAGTAACCAACGTTCTACCATTTCAACAGACATTTTAGAGTGACTTAATTCTGATGACTTAACTGGGAGATAATATTTAAACAAGTGGCATTGAACCAGATGGCACA